CTGACTTCACACTGAACCGAGATGGACACTACTCATTAATATAGACTAGGGATGGGATACAAGATCAAGATGAAGACACCTGGCCCTGGTTATCTACAAACAGGTGTCTTCAGGCACAGCAATGCTCAATGCATTACCTAAGGACAGCTTCCCACTGACATCTGAGATGTCCTATAGCATCTGAACATCTGGATGGGGCTCACAGATATGGCCAAAGAGCTATAAGAAAGCATGTTCCTGTAGTGCAGCAGCTGGAGGCCAGACAGTAAACTCTAGAGCATCTCAAATGACACTAGACATCAACGTTCAAGCAACCAGGCAGGATGTTTAAAGTCTCATTATAACTCAATAGAGATCTCATCAGTATCGCCAGTGGAGTTTGGAGACCAATTCAATTCTTCAGTTCACTCTGAAGTAGACCTCTAGTCACCGGTGAGTTGAATTGCTGTATACAGACATATGAATTTAGTGGTCTTAATCTCAAGCTGAGTCCTACCACAGATGTCTTTAAGTATATCTTTAAGTTCATCAATCCCAGCAGTATTCTAACATTCAAATAGCAATAACTGCACCTTGTATGACCAAAGTAAGTTAACAGAAGTAACATTATGTTCCTTCTCCAGTGATTCTCAGGCAAAAATATATCCAACCAGATTCTTGTATTCCACCCCAATTAAAGATGCATGTCAATCAAGTAAATGCTCATTTTCTTCACAGGAGAATTACTACAGACAAAAGGAAACTCAGTGCTCATTGGCAGAATACTGCTTGAGTGCCTCGAGAAGGTAAACAAGAAGCATCTGGATTCTGCCCTGGATCATTCCTCATCCACTCACCTATCTACGTTAACATTTTAGTACACATCAGGAGCACACATTGTATGTGACTCTCCTGACGATCCCTACTTAACACTTATAACCTAGATTACTACGGCAGTGCTGAAGGAAACCGTCTTACCAACAAGCTACAAAGCATTGGGAAACACTACATCATAAATTAAGTTTAATTTGCAACCATCAAGAAACAAACAAACAAAAATAGTATTTCCAAGCACAAGGGTTAATTTTCTTTCATCTTTTGCTTTATTTTGTCTTACGGAAAAAAATTAGGGACTTAAACACTGATGATAGCAACACATTAGTCAAGTTTACAATTTCTTGGATTACATCCAGTTACACAAACATCCCACTTGGTCCATAAACATGAAATATTAATAATAAATGGCCTTAATATATAAGTGCAAAAAACTGTACGCTCAAATATTGTTGTCAGGACCCACGGCTACTCTCATGTAGTGATTCCCCCATTACATTCTTTTACATTTAAAGCTGATGGTATATTTTCCTCTAAAATGTTTAGCAGCCTTAATGATACTTCAGATAGAGATTAGCTATCATTGTTGTCTGAGGAATTCACTCACAGAATCCAGTTTAGCTGCATTCTCTTTGCAAAGCACGTAAAAAATATTTTTCATCTTCAGATTTAGGAGATATGACCCACAAAACGCACACACAATGAATAAAATTACAGTTACAAGGACAGTAAATTTGAAACACATATTGTTGAAAACCAGACACCGTAGATGGCATCAAAGTGTATGTCCTAAAATGAAGAGGTGGTGGTCATACATCATATTCGAATGAGTAGGCAAAAACTATGGGAACTCACTACTTATCAGGGGTGGATTCGGGAACCTAGAATTAGTCTGAAAATAGAAAACTGTAACTAGATGGCTTTTCCTCTCTGTGATATTCATTACCATAGCACCTAATTCTGCCATCAAGCATCATTGTCTCCAACATATTATTTAAGGATTTTGTAATTTCAGGTGTCACTCCCTCTCTTGCTCTTATGCAATGCCTTTCTTCTGAGAATTGCAGAGGTTTTTATATAAATAATAAGGTATATAACACCTATGAATTAGGAAGTTCCACCTTTCACAGATGGAACTGAAACAGAACTAACATGCCCCAGATTTACAAATTTTCTGAAGCCATCTTCTCCCAGAAAAGATTACAATAACTCTAATGTGCTTTGGAAAATTACTGTGTCCTAAGTGAACCCTCCTGCAATTCGAAGGTATCTTATTGCAGTAATATCTAACATAAAAGAGAAAGGGACTGTTATTTTTTCCTGAATCAGATTTTGGCGATATGTGTCATTACATGTCTAAAGCAAGTGAACACTAATGCCACGGAGGTATCGGTCACTCTGTAGCTGCGGGCGAGCCTCCATTCCACTCTTAAATTAATTCAAATCCTGCTATACTTAAAAATCGCATCATATACTCTCTAACCTGAATGATCAACACAAAGTGAGTTCTCTAAATACAAGTTTAAACATAAATTCACTGATTTATGAGCAAATACATCTATAGTGAAAAAGAAAAATCTGATTCCTGGGAGCATTGCCATCAGCCTCAGCATGATTCAGAATGATTTTTGGCAACAGCAGGAAGCAGGCTCTTCTCATCCTGCTGCAGCCCATTTAAAAGTTTAAGCACGTGTTTTATGAAGAAACAAGGTGGTAGCTAAGCTCAGAGCAACTGTTTCTAATTGTTGTGATTAGACAGATGACAAATAAAATCAGTCCGAGGGCTCATGTGGGAGGCCATTTTGACAGAGATAAACTTTCTTCTCCAGCTAATTTGTGCATGGCAATCCTATTAAGTGGAGCAACATAGAGAAGGGGCTCACATCAAAAGTTTTCACTGATAAATTGCTTCTTTCCAGCCACCACCGTCCTGTAAAGATCCTACAGCTGGTGACAGGATGCAGAATTTGCACTCATAAAGCTCCCTGCGGTACTGCTGTCCCTGTTACAGCGTGGAAAAAAGTAACCTTAGCTGCATGACTACGATCCGATCATACACTGAGCTTTGAACTGTACAGTCAGAGGGACTGGCTCTTTGCTTCTGGTTTGGTTTTTTTTTTTCTTTTTGGTGATATTAATCTCCATAGTACTCTTCTGAATCAATAAATCCATTACAAAATAAAGGCATTTTCATCTGCTCACTTCGGCTGCTCTGCCAAAAAAAACCCCTTTAATTAGCCAGTATTTTTGGGCTGCTTTGTTGTAACTAGCAGAATGGTGAATCTGCCCCCAACTGTTAATAATTAAAAAGTCATTTAAGGCTGCATATCTTCAAAGTATTAAAAATAATTATGCAACAGGACTGTTATGGGGTATGCTCACTTAATATAGCTCAAAGAAATGAGATAAGAATGAATTACTGAAGATGTACATATAAGGTTGCCTTACAATGAAGGTACGTGGGTGTGAGAGGGGAACAGAGAAGGACATCCTCACCTGGAAAAGACTACACAACTCAAAAAATTTTCTTCAAATATTCTTTAGTGGAATCCGCAGCTTTTTACCTAATCTTGGAAACATACAGTCATGCAGATAAGGCAGTATTAAATGGATCACTGCTGCCTCTGGAAAGGAAGATAAGTTAGCCTTTGGTGCTTAGATATTCGCTTTCTGACAGCTGTTCTTCCTTCTCACAAACTTCCTCTGCCAAGCAAAGATTATTTGGGATTGACAAGTCTGTGCTTTGGAATAAACAAGATCTTTTCTCTGACAGGGTGTTGGAAACGGATGCTTAAGATACAGATAACAGTATAGTCTGTCAGGCATATTATATAGCTTGAGGGGGTCTCAGGGAAAAGGTACCAAGCCACACAAATACCTACATATGCCTAACAGTGTTTATGAATCCATACTTTTCCAAAAGATACCAAGAGAAGGAAATCTTTCCCTCACACACTGCAACTCCGATGAGAAAAAGACAATTCTGCTTCCTACACTGTGTGAGGGTGGAGACAAAAAAGTAGAAAGAGGAGACAAGACCATGAGGCTGGAGTGGCTGAAATGGAGTAATTGACACAAAACAGTGCTAAGACCTAATGAAAGTACAAGGTGGTTTGATTTCTTAAAAAGAAATATATATCCCTTTGGGATGATTACCTGCTCTGTAACCAACACCAGCTGCACGTGGCATATCAGGGCTGCCAGCATTCATGCAGTCATCATCAATCAACAAACTTGCTGCCATATCCACAACTGGAGAGGAGGAAAAAGTTACAAATGGTCCCAAATTCCTCAGCGCCACTTTGTTAATCACCAAACCACCAATTTAGGCTGCTGCTCTAAACTCAACCTGTGCTTTATCTGCACCCCTAAAGGGTGGGTGTAATCTTCTCTTTAAGCCTTACTGGCTCCTAATTCAGGCCAGCGTGCTTCACTGGTGAGGCAGAAAAGAGGCACTTCAGACTCTCTTTCAGTGCAAGGTCTGGAGTCTCTGCATCTTCTCAGTCTCCTTTCCCTCAAAGAGCAGCAGCAGTTCTAGCAGCACTTCTCGAACCCGGTACTTCAAATATGAGCTATACTGTTACAGGAACCCAAGCTCACAGGGGTCTTCTAGACCCAGTAGTCCTTCGGAATTGGCTGGACTCAAGTGAACGCCAGGGAAGTACAAACATTTGAAGAGTTGCCTGAGTTTTAGCATTTTTTTTGAAGGGCTTGCATACACAGAAGCAGATGTCATCTATAACAGCTGTCACACATGAGGGATAACATGACTCCCTAAAGTTCAGGTGCTGGAATATATTCTTTTTGTTTCCTCGAATGATGTTCTGCAGCAAAATAATCCCAAACCAAACACATTACATACAAGCATATTTACATGTGTATGTGGACAAGCACTTGAAAATGACAGTTCCTCACAAATTTATCCATAAATTACCAATAGTCATTTTCAGTTATGATGCAGCTTAACATACCTGTACAGGTTGCAGGTATCCTTGAACTCAGAATCTCTCCTTTTTATTGCCAAAAGTGACATTTAGTTGCAATGAGGTGTTGAAACTTTGTTAAGCGTTACTGTTATATACATACTACCATGCATCACTTCAAATTTGGAGTTTGCTGACATCATGTCAGTACAGATTTTCTGTTTGAATACTTGACACCAGCCAAATCCTGCACTTTTCTTTTACCTGGAGTAATGGATAGCTTGATGTCCTGCAATATTAAAATAGAAGTCAGTTGTATGTTTCATCTCATCAGTATGTCCAGAGACTTCAATCCAGTGTGCTACTGGGAGGCAGTAAACTCCATCTACTATGTTGCTCTGGTCATAAACACAACTTCGATCATGATGGGGCCCATTACCTAGAACAGAAGAGAGGACAGCTGTGGGCTGGGTATCCAGAAAATCTTCCGAAAGATTTGTAGGAGATGCAGACTGAGTATTTAAGGCAAGGAGTGGTGCTTGCTGCCTGTTCTGACTGCATTTCTCATAACACATTAACACCCCAAATAGCTGTAACAGAAGCGCTGCCACAAAGCAAATGTTCAGCATTAAAATCAATTTTTGCAAATTATTAAAAAAAAACATTAAAGCTGTACAAGACTCCCAAATTATCAACTGTGGCACTTACAGTTTCAAGAATAATTAATTCCATTCAAGTTCCTCATCTGATGTCTGATAATATGTGACCTCAGCACTTAACGTTTCTGCTGTGTGACCTCCCTCTGGGGGGTTCAGCTTGCTATGGCCCAAGGTCGAGCCCTGCCATGGCACAGCAGAATCACTGTGCCCTAAGGCTTACTTCCAAGGAAACTGCCAAGCTACGAGAAAGACCGGGGAGAAAGCGCAGAGTAGGGCCATGCAAGATCAGAAAGGTAAAACCACAAGCAAAGGTAGGACTGGTGACACTGGAATTGTTACCAGCTTAAGGATTCAAGAGGAAAAACACCAATGTGGAAAGGCATCGGAATCCCAAAGAAGCAAGCAGGCAGCAGACAGCAGCCTGGCAGCAGTGAAGACCTGTTTCAGGGAGAAGTGACGGGTGGTTCTCCTCCACCTCATCCACAGCTGCCTGGCCAGCAAAGACTCTTCAGGTGTCCTGCTCGGGACAGGACGCACACCTATGCCTAGCCCAGGAGCTCGTTAAATCCTACCTGTCTTTTATGTTTGCTAACTGATAAACAATCGCTTTGTACTCTTCAGATGCACGTCCTGCTTCAAAAGTCTGTTCATACACAGTAAAAGTTGCCCAAAGTGACCCAGAGAGAGACAGTCACATCTGCAATGCCGAGCGATCACAATTACCTAAAATGGCCTTGTCTAAGGTAAGAAATTTATCTTACTGTTTTCCACTATTTAATATCCGTTACCCCTTCTTCTTCTCTTACGGCAATAGTGTGAGCTTTAGTACAGAAAACCAATTTTTAATACCATGCCAGAGTAAGCAACAGGAATTGAACCGGGTCACGTCATCAATCAAAAGGTCATCTAGCCTCCAAAAATTCAGTACATGTATATTCTCCCCGCCCCCTGCCATTTTTACGTACTTATTGTAATACTAATTGCCATGTAGGAGTTATTGTGCAGATTAGAAGTGACCTAGTCTATGGCTTGCTTTTAATGTAAGCCTGTTACACTTTACATTATTAATGATGTTAGAAAATTTCTGAGTAAAATTATGCCCAAAGGAATTATCTTCAATTTCACACTGCACACAAATGCATGACCAGCTTCCAAGCACCACATTTAGGGAAATTTGCTAGAGCAAGAGCATTTTGGGAGATGTATTATTGCAATGATTAGAGAATAAGACTAACATTTAATACCGCAGCTCAAACAATCTCCTTATTTCCAGGTAACATGCAGCACGCTTTATCATAATTATGAAATACTATTATTTACCAAAAAAAAAATACTAGGCAGAAAACTATTTTCTCTTTCTATATTGCTGAACCATTATGCATCATGCGCAATGGTACGACAGCTTTTGATAAATAAGGTAAGCAAGATCAGTATATAGCTCCTGAAGCTACAAATCTTACCACTATATTTTTATCCCACTTTTCTAATTGTTCATACATTCTTACCACTTTTAAACAATATGTGAAGACAACAGTATACATCGACAAATACAACAGCGTAACAAAACCTATGGATGTTTATGACACTTAATTGACTTAATGTATTCAGCAAAATCTTTATAACCGCATATAACACATCTTGCCTTTCCCATTTTACTCTTCGACGACCGTCTGTAGCAATGCACGTCACCATGGCCCTGCCCGGACATCACAAGGACGTGTGTGATCCTGACCCCCACCCACCCACGGGCACACGTCCCGTCCCGTCCCAGCCTCAGCCCCGTCCCCAGGGAGGGGGCCAATGCCCAGGGCTGGGACTGCTCCTGTGCCCCGGCTGCCTGCTCCTGGCTACCAGCCCTGTGGGGTGGCCCTGCAGCCCCCAGGGAGCTGCCAGCCCTCACTGCACCCTGGCAGTTTCGAACCATGTTCTCGGGATCTCTGGCTCTTTTGCTACTCCCAGCCCTATTTGCCCTCATAGCCATTCTGGCTTCCTCAAGGACTGCCCCTTCCATTGTTCACAGCTGTTCCTCCTCTCCCACCATGAATTTTCTTCATTGCATGAATTTTTGCAATCACAATCTATGATCTCTCCCTCCTGCTTAATTTCTTCTTTCCTCAAGGTGCTAGTCAGTCCTACAAGACAACAAAGCCTCACTCTTCTTTGTCTTCATGATCTCAATTGCATCACTACATGCTTCCTACTTTCCATTTCCAGCTGCTGCTGCTTGACGTGCATGTACCTCTTTCATTTGCCAGTTTTACTGTCCATCCTCCTTCTCCTCCAGTTTTAATTCTTGGCTCTTTTTTTCCTTCCTTCTCTATCATCTGCCTTCTTAAATGGCCGTAACCTCCTTGCCTTGTAACCTTTTCACCTTCAGCATCATTCATTCCCTTACCTAGCCTACAACCACACATGAAAGTGGGGCCAAGAGATGTTTGTTTAATTTATTCCCTCAAACAGGTACTGTCAAATCTCATTCTGAAAAGCTTCCTTCTCTAATTGCTATTTATTGCCATTGATTTTTCTGTACCACTCAACCTCACCTTCCCGCTGTGGCCTACAGGCAAACAGGAATCTCAAAAGGTATGTTTCCATTTTGGCTGTAATACTCAGGTAAACAATAACAGCTTGCATTCATAACATTTTTCATGAGAATTGCACAGCTCTTTACTACTCCTTACATTATATACTGATATATGAAATAACAACCCTCTTACTGAAATATGATGTCTGTGCAACAGAATGTATATGAATATACATTCAACATATATATATTCATGTGTGTGTACATATATTAATGTATTTTTTTAATATATGTCAACAAATGCAGTGATATAATTTCAGACAGGAAGGGGAGAGTGCTACCATCTCCAAGAAATACTACTTCAGAGAACAGTATGATCATACCGAGCTGTTCAGGAAGCTGAATTCTCCATTCCTCTTGCAAGAGTTATGAAAGAAGGCAATGACCACAGACAATCAGGATCTCACTACACAGGCAATACCCAAATGATACACAAGTGGTTCTTGCCAGAGTTTGCTCCACAAGGTGCATTTAACAAATAAGTTTCAAAAAAAGAGAAATTTGTTGTATCAGTTCACATCATGCTTCTGCTAGCACAGTTTGTCACAGGAAAACCATAATATTTTGGGTGCCATAAAACAACAATGCAAGGAAACAGTTTCAGAAGTAGAGCCAGATGACAAGTTTGGAGGAGTACTGTAGAACTCTTCTATAATTTAGAGCTGCTATAAAAGGGCTGAAGATTGAATTCTCTCAACTTTTATCTTCCAGAGTCATTTACTACAAAAAGAAGCCAGCCAATGAAAATGACTTTTATTCAAGGCAACTGATCATAAACTGTGTTTTAAACAGAAAACAATTAGCATCACTTGTTCTGTTAGGTATTTGCAGAATGTATATGGCTAGGAAAATGGGCACAGTTTGGGTGACGAGCAGGTAGCATTAACCGGATAATCCTCAGTTCTTCCTTTTCCACTCCCTATCGTTTCAAACCTTTCCTCATGAGCTTCCTCTGTCTGAAGCAAGGTCCATCAGCCTCATGGTATGAGGTACATCCAGGCAAAACGTGCCTTAGTCTCATCTTAGCCCCTTTATCTCTGCTGATGGAACAGGCTCCTTGCATCTCCTTTGTGGTAGTTACATGACTCCATCAGACTCAGACTCAGAAAAGCTGGCCCAAGACTTCTCACAAGTACAGGAAGACTTTGTGCCAAGAATGAAGCAGCTTTCAGAGTCATGAGGCAGGATAAAAATCTGTCATGCTAAGTGAAACACTCACTCTCCCCTGCCTAGCCATGACAGGCCAAGCAAAGTCCTTTCTGGAAAGGATTTGGATCCTTGGAGCATGGGGACTTTCACATGCTCAGGACAGCGGGCTGGGCAGGGTGTTAGCTCCAGGCAGCGACCAGCAGCACCACAGATCACAGACCACCAATTCCTCACTCTCTCTCTGGTCCAGTGCTGTCTGTGGGGTGTGGTTGGTCAGTCTGGGAGGAAACAGAGCACCTGATGAAGATAGTGGGACCAAGCTCAGCAGAATCCAATTCTTCCCAGTGCACCAGAAATGTATTGTGGCCCTTTCTAATTTATTACCTTCTGTTCAGGCACAAGAGAGAAAAGATAGAGGCCAGTGCAGAGAGAAGTACCATGAGACTGCACATACGCAGAATCTGGACGTGTGTGCCCATGACTGAAGCTGCTCATACCCACACCAACTTCCTACTCCACTTATTTCCCCCACAGGTCCCAGTTGCCTGCAATATCTGAAAGGCCGTTGCACCTTTGGATCTTCTAAGTGACTTCCAGAAGTGAGACTCAGCAGCCCATCCCCACAGAAACTCAGCTTTATTACTCACTTCTCAAATGCACAAAGCATTTCACAAAGTAAATTACCAAAACTGAAGGCCTAGTGCTGAAATTTAGTTTCTGAACCTGAAGCTCGGAAAGGTCCTATCTACAAGCCGGGAAGGCTATCCTGACCATGCTGGGCAATCACATCTGTCAGGGTGCCTCCACATCACCACCTGGCATGGCACAATCAGAGTATGTCCAGGGTTTAATTTGCTGCAATCCAACACACTTCCAGGACCACGAGTGCACATCACATCTTTACCAGCAACAAAGTGTGCACCACTGGCCAGTCCCAGGCACATACCGCTCATGCAGAGATTGAACGGCCAGAGTATTTTGCATCCCTATTACAAGCTGAGTGCTAGGAGGGAAACAGCTTGAAGCATACCAGTGCTGAGCACAAGTGCA